TAGAATATAATAATCAAATCAGAAAAAAGATTCAATCTTTCTATATAATTTAATCATATTTTAGGAAAATGATATTCTAAATTTTAGTGTATTTTTGAAAGAAGTATATTCGTATTTTTCATAAAATGAATATTATATATCTATTATATATCGATTATATTCATAATAGAAATTTAAGAAAATTTAATTAATGAAAATGTATATATATATATATATATATCTAAATTCATTATTTTAAATTTCATGAATTCTCAAGTAAATTAAATATATCATATTTAATTGATTTTCAATTCGTATATTTATATCTTATCATCATTATAATGAAAAAGTTTGATAGAAATAAAAATTTTTTAGATAAAGATCTATTTTACTTTATATAATCTGAAATGATTATAGAATATATACATCCAATAATTGTAATGGTTGGACTCTATTGAAGGTTCATATTATGATACACTAATTGTTAAACGTAAATTTCGCATCGAACGTCGTGCGCTTTTTGGGCTTCCTTCATTCGTCTGGCACAGTCACCGTCCAGTTTCCTGAATGCGGCAGCGGACGTCCTTGCACTTGGACGCGCATCTTACGCAGGCCACGGATATCCCAAAAGAAATCTGCCGAACTTCGGACTCCCTGCATCTCCAGAGCCAGACAACTGAAGTGCTTGATTTGACTTCAGACATCAGGAAAGGTGCTGGTGTTTTTAAGCCAGTTTCTTGTGGTGTTTCATAAAGACAACCGAAAAGTTCAACAACCGGCAAGGTCCAAACGAGCAAAGCGCTTAGTGCGCCGGACAACATCTACACCCCCTTCCTCAGGACAAACAATCAGCAGGCTGTTGTACGTGTCCTCTGTCACTCTCGAACTAACGCTGAAGCCAATCGGACAACGGCTTCACTGGCATCTGCATCGAAGGGGCGCGGGCGAGCTCCTCCAGCTCTTCATCATCGGCCAAGCCACCTCTTCGTTCAGGACTTCTGAGGCATAATGTCGCAGGCATACACAATACCAGAGACCGGGAGGTCGGGATGTCAGAAATGTGCAGCCGCGAAGGATCATGTGGCAGGCTGACCACTACGGAGGAAAATCCATAACATCGGGCCACTGGCCCGTACCATATTAGGCAGATACCCTTCTTGGCAAGCCGAACTGCTGGCAAACTTCATGACTCTCCGAAGCTAAGTACTGCACCCAAAGCCAAGGCCAATGACCGTGGCGTTCGGTTTACTGCCTCTCAAGACGGTGCAGAGCTTTGAAACAATCAGAAGCATCGGAAAGTTATCTACGATGCATTGCACTTCCACAATGTTACATGTTCTGTTGCTGGACACTAAACCTATGCAGATGGACAGCCTCACGTTCGTGCTCTGCCAAACTAGCACTTCAAGCCCGCCATGCCTGCCAGACAACCTCGCGTTCTTGCCGGAGTGCCTGACATTATGATTTAGAAAAGTATGCATCACCAAGCGTGCCTGCTCTGTGTGTACCCATGTAGGCTTCCATCCTGCTTGTTCATTCACGAAAAGCCAGAGAACTGATGTTCCGATGTTGATCACTGTGCACAGGCGAAGTGATCCGTCAATGTCTGAGGAGAGTTGACTTTCTGTGCTGCGCGTCCACTTGGTAGCCTCGCTGGCAAACTCCAATGCGCAGCCATTCTGACTAATTGCCTCAGCATAGCGATCGGTTCAAGCATGATTCTAACCTTAACAGTTGTAATCCGCAGGTTTTCAGCCAAGATGGAAGCTTAGGCCCCTGCCGCCAGAACTATATCTCTGTCCTGCAGGGTCAGTAAGCTTTCTGAGGGTTGGATTCAGATGCTGCGGAAACCAATGGGCACGACCGTTTCCGTTCAAGTCTAAAGACGACATCCCAGCGTTCCCGCAAGGCCACAACACCCGCGACAAGTGAAGCCTCAACGCACAGCAACCGATCGGGTCCGCCCGAAGCCGCTCGGAAGCAAACTGAAGTGAAAGACCATCAAACCTTTGTAGCTGAGCCGGGAGGTGTCACATGACCCATATTTCAACATACCGTGAGATGACTTCAATTGCTTTTGCTTTCTTCTCTTCCATGGGAATTCAACTCAGGTTGCTCTTTCCGTCACACCTCAACCCCAGCGCAAGCAAGGTGCTTGATGGCTGCCCGAACCACCTCCGGATCATCCTGCAGCTCCTGCACTAGCATCACCAATGTCGCTGAAGGTTGCGGCATGGATCTTTGAGGAGCTCGACGGTTCAGGCTCAGCATCTTTCTAGCCTTGTGCTTGAATCTGTCGCTTCTGCGCGACATGTCTTGCGCAGACGGACAGACGCAAAAAATCCCTTGCGCCGAGGCAGTACCCTGGTTGCCCCTTTCTGGCACGGCTCCTTGGCCGCGAGCTGGAGGTTTGTGCCGCTGGTGGACACGGCCAACAAGACAACCTGAGGCCATAAATCCAAGCCCTATGCGGGAGTCCTTGAGACTTGAATCATTGACTGAGCTTTTTGAAACTTCCCATCCAATCGGGATGGGAGCCGCCTGACACCACGTAAGCACTGCCTTGGCTATCTAGCTTCGGAGTCCCGGGTGCTTCTTTCTCGGCTCGCATCTCCTCGTCTGCGAACTCCAAGGCATCACCATCCTGCCGGGCTATGCAGAATCCGCAGCAGCGGACGGCTGCTGGACTTGAGGATACAATCCTTGAGCTTTGCAGGCTGCAAGTCTTCGAGGCGCAACAGGACCCTAAGTCTCTCAACCTTAAGAGTGCGACAGAGGATAGCAAGTCTAGCCTCTGCCATGTGCCCTGCAGGAGCCTTGTACTTTTCTTATTCCGGAACCCCAGGCCGATGGCCTGTGCGACAGCCGCATGAACCTGAGGATATGCAAAGCTGCTCTCAAAGCACACCCCATCGCGGTACTAAAGGAATCTGCCCCACATGCATCGAGGAACAACGTTCTTTTGAGTTTATTGACGACAACTCCGTTTTCTTGATTGGAGCCATGCGCTTTCAGGAACACCTTGACTTCTTGGCAGTTAGCAAATCATCCGGCATCTGGGATGGCCTGGATGCAAGTCACACTTTGAGTTGCTGAACCGCAAACACTAGCTCGAGTGACCCCAGTGGATGAAGCCAGGGCCCCCAACGAGCTCTTTGTCCTTTGACCTGAGATTCAACTGCGATGGATCAAACGGATCGACAAAAATCGGAACAATCGCTAGATTGCTAGATATCGCAAGCACCTGAACGAATTGCACAGGGTGATCATCAGGCATTGCTGGTTTGCAACGTTTGGCTTCTTGCATCGAGATATTACCCCTTGGCTACTACAGCAGCATGACAGGACATTGTGGCATCCTTCGTCATGGCGTTTGCCGTTACGCGTTGCGAGAGTTTGCAGAAGCCTCGGACATGGCCCAGACTCATGTTTTGTGGGGTTATAGTGGTGTTCGTGATCTTTCACAGGGTCTCGTAGATGCTAAAGCCTTTCCGATCCGTCCCTTCAGAACCCCAACCCCCGAAAATAGATACGTGGAGCAACCGGAAACCCGAAACCCTAAACCCGACACCTGGGAGCAGATCTCGCAACGTCGGAAAGCTCTGGGCGTCCAGGCAGGCCCGTGCCCTCTCCGAGCTTCAGGAGCCGACCATCCTGTGTAAACAAAACCCGGGCGTCTATGGGTCTTCATCCGGAAACGGCGGGTTCCCCAAACCGATACTGAAAGCAACAGCAGGATCAATTTTTTCTGATGATGGCTTGAAAAATCAGAGAACTCGAGCAGGTATGGGGCGCGTCATCACTTCAAGTGAACAAGCGATCCATCATCGAGCGTCTCGTCGCTACCATGGTGGCTCTGGGTCAGACCGGTGTCGCTTCGGCATCAGAAACTTCGGCTTTCCCACAAGACAGCTTCCTGTGCGAGCTCCAGCTCTCAACTTCCGGTGGCCTGATTCGATGACCCAGATACCAAACACAGGCAATCAAAACTAGAGCTTGTGAACATCCCGCAACTACAGCTGCCTGCTGTACAGCTGCCAAGAGAAGCGTCCGATCCTCACAATCGGTTGAACGGTCTTGTGAATGGTACTGTACGAGTCTGTACGCGTACTGACTGGCATCGATACGCCGATGCTTAGCATTTGCTAGGCTCTAGATCGATGGGCACTCGCCGGCAGAACTGTCTCGAAGCGCTCCCCGCTAGTACATGCAAGAGAGTAGCTCAGGGACAATCAGGATTGGCTGACAGTTCTTCAGAGGCTGGCATGTGCCATAATCTGCGGCCTTATGGGTATCTTATCTCCCGAGGTCGGTCGGCAAGTCTTGGGATTCGCTTCTGAACTTGTTCTTTGGATCCACAGCAGTCGACGACCACTTCGCTCGCTGTTACGTTATAGGAATGTTCGTGGTGACAATACTGTCTGAATGTCGTTTTAATGGACCACGAGCTCTGGAGCTTAAGCTCAAGAAGCAGCTGGCAGTCACCAGGGCTGGCTTTGAGATACTAAACTGACTAAACTGTCCTGATCTGCTAGTCTAAGCCTGCTTCCAGCTGTAAGTTTTAACAAATGCAGCCGCGGAGTATGGTTTTATAACTTTAGCATGAAGAGGCCTCTGTGCATCGGAGCAGTGTCCTGGTGGCTCTCGCGTGGTCAACATCGGAAGCATCTCGTGTGCCAGGACGACCGTCTACGATTAGGCCCAGGCGGTCCAGAGATGTGGAGCGGCAAATCGCAGTGCAGCACCTAACAATTCCAAGTTCCCTTCAAAGAAGTGATAAAGAAAAGGGTGTATACAGGGGCTCTGGACTAGTTAGCTGCATGATGAACAAACGCATATGCCAGAAGACAGCATCTTTATCACTTGGCATATCCTCATCTGCGCCAGTTTGAACGAAAGATCTCTTGGAAGGAGGACGCAGAAGGAGCAGTTGAGTTGGGTACTGTGTCGGTCACCCCATGAACCTCGTTCAGTCCCACGCCGAGTGGATCTACGCCAAGAATCTCTCAACCTGCAAGACCCTCCTCACTTGCATCGGCAGTGCCGTTCTGCTCAACCGCTGCCGCCACCACCTCTCGCGCACTGGAGAACCCTAGTCCGAAGGATTGACGGTTCGAAAACGTTGTTGTCGCGAAGGCTGGTGCTCATGACAGTGGTGCTCAACATCCTGTTACAACTGTTAAGGCGACTGTTGGGCGAAAGATGTAGTTGCAGGCTGTTGCTGCGCCTCCCGACTGCCACGAAGCCTTTCGGAGACATATTCCAGTGCGTCAGGGTCCTGCAATGCAGCGGATGACGGCATGAAGGTTGAACTAGTCAAGATTCAAGCTGTCGAACACAGATTCGCCTTGCGTTGCTCGTGAAATTAAGACATGCTGGCTCTTACCTCCATGCCCATGCTTCCATACAGGAGCCGGTGCAACAGACAGCTTTGCTGTGCCAATCCCGCCTATTCGGACACCGAGCAAATAAGCCCAGCTAGCATCGGCAAGAAAGCCGGCAAACACAGGATTGCGGCTCTTGCAAGCTGTGCTTCCTGCTTGACGGCGGTGGCCACTACCTGGCTACTGGACAGCAAATGCAAATCGTGAACTGGCCATCCACAAGGGCTTCAATCAGCAGGTGCCTAAGTCACCTTGCACACAAAACCACACACACACAGTAGGTCACGCCTCATGCCATTCCTTACAGCAAAGCCCAAGCCTCTGGGTCATCCTGAAGCTCCGGCGAGGCGAATCTGACGGGCGTGGCTGAAGGATTAGGCCCCACAGAAAAAAGCTCGTCGATGCTAGGTATGTTGGGCAGCAGGAATTGATGTACAACAAGTCGGAATTGCAACTTCGCGGTCCATACTTCGGCGGTGTACACTGCGTTTCAACTGTATCCGATGAAGATTCAGTGAAACCGTCCCTGACAACGTTTGCACAATCATAAGTTGCGGCGAGCTGCTGGATCGCAATGCCCTCCTCTGCGACAGCTGCCAGCACTACCTCCTTGTCCTCGTCAGCCGTTCAAGCCAGTATTCGGAAAAACTTTCGGCTTTAAACGTCGAACGGAGACCAGATGTCTGACTGTGAGTTTACATCAAGTCAGGAACCCCTCCCAAGCCCTTTACATTACAATGCGGCTTCGTCGCTTGCTGCGCTGCTGGGTCGTCACGCAGCCGCTCCCACAAGTCGGACATATCGTACAGGAACGGAGAGTGTTCTCGAATCTATGGTGTCTGCTGCCTGAGGGTGTTTGGAGATTTCTAATGCCAAGTGACCAAGCGTAAAGGTTGCAGGTGCTGGAAGGTGTCAAGGGGTGACCTTGCTTCTTTTCGTTGTAAGTGATCTTGCTTTTCTTGGGTACAGGTATGGACACAGTCAGTGATACAAGCTGGCCTCGCCAGCAAGGCGTTTTGGTTCTCAAACTTACAGGTGCCGACCCTGTTGCACCAGGCCACATTCACGACTGGATCCCAAAGCTGCTGCGAACATGTCGGTCATCTTGCGCTTGAGCTTCTGTTCGACTCCGGTTGCGCTCAGACCGGGGGATCCTACCCAGCGGGTAGACTAACCTGGCATTCAGCAGCCTTCGATCAATCACTTGCAGGCCTGTCTATGCAACAGTACATCGAGGGGAAGCTTGGGCTTCGGTTGAAAGCTGAGGCTTCTCTGCTTTAGAAACCTTAGGGTCATGGACCCAGAATCCAGTGTCCTCCACATCCAACAGCCTCCGTGCCAACCGAAAAGGACACTCCGTTCGATATGTACGACACTGTAGGAAGAGATCATGTACTCTTGCTTTCTTCTCTGGTGAGTATGCTCTTGCTTTTGAGAGTTCCGGTGGTGATGGATGAGATCGTCGTCATGCTCGATCTCGCAGCAGCAGAGTAGTCGCAGGCGTAGTCGTCGTCATCGTCGTCGTAGTAGTAGTAGTAGTAGTAGCAGTAGTCGTCGTCTTGTGGTGGTGGTGGTGGTCGCAGCAGCAGTAGCAGAAGGAAGATTAGCTGGCAAACTTGGCCGTTTTCAACACATGCGCTAGTTCATGTGGCTGCGACACCCTGACATCAAGAGTCACTGCGGGACTGTTCTGTGTATGTGTCCTCGCATCTTTGCGTGCGGTCAATAGTTCATAGTTCTTATGTACATATGTAGACACACATCGTGTGACATGCCAGCGGATGCCTTGGGATGTCCCTTTCATGCATGTAGCTATAAGGGCCAAAAACTAAGCAACCAGCACAAATCAACGCTGTCCGAAGGACTCTGCTGTATGCATACATACAACATATATACATATATACATATATATATATATGTATATAAATGTAGGCCTGTATGTCTGTGTCTGAATGTATGTATGTATCCATGTGTTCACATATCTGTATCTGCATACCCAGCCGTCCTAGAATGCAAGAACAGAAACATGTCTTTTTGGCTCCTCATGCACGCCCCGACAGTCCAGTGCAGTGCAAGGCTTGGGGGAAGCATCCCGTGGACTCGCCTGGTTTGACGTAGCAGGACACCGAGGATGATGCGAGGCCATAGGCTTTGACCATAACGGTACTGTGTATCACTCGTCGTCATAGCCACTAACGAAACATCTCGGAAGGAGACGAATTATGGGGCTTCGACTCTGAACCAATCAGCCTGGATGCAGCCCCACACTTTTGCTGAAACACAGGCTCTCCATCTGCACAGGATTTTGCAAGGAGCCTTGTTGGCGAGCCGGGCTCACCGCTTCAACGGAAAATCCCACGTAAAACGTGCCGAAGGCTTGAAATGTTCCGGAACGTGCCTGCTGTGGGGGAATGCCAGAAGAGAGGCAAACAAAGTGGAACGGTGCACAAGGTGGTCAATATGTTTTCACAGGGAGAAGTCGCTTCAGACCGTCTCACGACGCCCCAGCTTGCACTGCCCGCAGCTATGTACAAGTCAGTGTTTCCCGCTATTGCCTCCATGTCCACAGAGAGCGTAAAGCTCCTCGACAGGCAGCGGCCGCAGGCTTCCGTAGTTGACCAGTTGCATGAGCACCCGGCTTCCCGCTAGTTCAAGAGTAGATTGTTTAGAGGTGCTGGTTCGAAGCATGTTCAATTTCGGTGACAAGGTTCCCAAGCCTGGGGAAGTCCCCTTGACTGGCTGGACTGCCATTGAGATGGTGCCTAAACTCCTAGCTCAGCAGCCAAATCTCGATCAACAGCCCAACATGTACACATAACACATAACACGAACCGAATCGCCGACTGAGACGCTGCGGAAAGTTCGAAAACGTGTCACACCCTACCGTGCACCATCTACATCGCACGCGACCCTAGCCAACACATCCTCAAGTGGTGCATCGGCCAGCCCTGAACAACTCAGATCATTCATTTTCTTACTCTTTAATGCTGCTATTGTGATGCAAATTCCGACTCTTCCAAGAATATGATTGGTTACACTACCCCGACCAATGATAGATGACCGCAATGTGCGTACAGCTTGCTCCAACAATCAAAGCCCAAGTCTCGTCGCAGAAACCCCAGCGGCACTGCTTCCACAGCAGGCCTGGGTGTCCTGCCAGTCACCCGTGCAGTGTGACGAGGATATTCATGATTCAACATAGGTAAGACAACGAAAGGAGCGATCAGAAGGCAGTTAAGTTAATGATTGAAACAGATCATCTCGCGTAGCGGTCATCGTACTCATAACAGTCAGACGAACACTAGCAATGCAATGCCTGTCCAAGTTGGGCCGGTTTCATGTTGAGGGGCTTGGCGGACAGGACTTTCCTAATGTTTACCACCTTTGGAGTCAGAAGATTGAACCGGGTGCTCTGATGCTGGTCGAGCCAGCTGTCTATCGGACAGATTTTTGGCCCAGAGATTCCTCTGAAGTTGACCATGCATTGACTAAAATGGTTGTGCTCTCCAGATATGCAGACACTCTCAAGACGAAGCCGGATGACAAGAAACAAAATCAGGGATACCAATCGAGGTTCAGAGTGACATGGATCGGCGGGTTCAAATTGCAGGACTGCAGCTATGCATCATCCCAGAAGACGGCAGCAATGACGAAGCCCACTGGTAAAGGATCTGGTTCCGAACTAGCTCGACTCAGTAGCCCTTCAGCTTCAGCTATACGATACCTCGAAACATAATCTCCAAACTGTTCAGGCCCCTATATTGCCTGTAATGTGTTGGACTGGAACACCATCGTTCACTGGGATTCTACGGGAGAGAATGCAATGATGTCTGCAACTTGACGTGCACATGTCGCCAGGCTTTTTGCTTAGCTTGAGCGCTGACATGGGGAGTGACTCTCTGCTCGCATCTTTCGCCAAGGGCTCAGCCAAAGGACGATCAAGCCTCAATCAGGCGAACAGCTTCATTTAGACGCGTAGACTACTGCAGTACAAACTCTTCAGCACCTGTCCAGGCTTGGAATACGTCTTCTGACCACCTTTAAGGAGCTGTGCCCACATGTTGTTACTTGCGACAAGGCTTTTAGGCTTAGCTGCACAGCCGATGACCCACAGCCGCACTCTCACACTCACTATAGATCCAGAACTATGAGATCTCACGACTCGCTTTCCGGCAACTTCGACTCACTGATTCCCTGGCTTGATTGGGCTTGTATGTAGTGGACTGCGGCTGCCAGTAACAATGATGGCTCTGTTATTTTGATTATGTGCCTTGATGGCACCACGCACATTGCATCAGCATCGACACTTCAAGCTTCTATGCGTGATTTATCGTGTTGGTTACAGAGCGTCCGGCCTCACAACCGTAATCTCATGTTGATGATTTTTGCCTTGCGGTTTAGGGAGGGTAGGTCTCGCTGCTACCTAAAACCTCAGTGATGTGCGTACACAGAACAGAAGCTTTCCCTTCTGTAAGCTGCACAACCTAAATCACACCAACTACACCCGGATGAGGCGACTATCAAGTTCACTTCGTGTACTCGCCAAATCCCAAACTTCACTGAAAGATCATGGCTTGTGATCTCGGAAGCGAGGCTACACGGCAACATCTATCGGAGGCTAAACAAGAGAAGGCGCCTTCAGCAGCTTGTTCAAACGTGGAGACATGCCGTAGGAGTGGAACCTGTAAGCTTCAAATGGGACTAGAACGAGCTCGGGCTTCAAACGCTTGAAGGATGGAATTTCTGAAGATCATGGGATCGGTAATCGGGGATCCGTAACTAGTTGTGTGTTTTCTTCTGAAGGCTCTGTTTTATCGCCGGGATCTATCAGGAACCGTCAAGACCAGTGTTTCAAGCCCTCCGAACCTGTTTCACAGTCAGCGTCACAACAAGCCTATGACAAGTGAAATCTCTCCAGACATGTGTGTTCCCTCTCGGGCTACTGGCTGAGGGCTGGAGGGAATGTGCGGGGGAAACCCTGGGTCCGCCGGGTCGAAGCATCATACTCCTGCGACTACAAGCACGTTTAATTCGGTTGTGGAGCTTCCTTTTGCCATGGGTTGCAAATGTGCTGGCCGATGAGGGTAGCGGGGAGTTTCTTGACGGTTTCTAGTGACCGGCTGCGATGCTCAGGTTCCTTTGTAGCGCTGAGGCAATGACTCGCGCCGCACCTGGCAGTTTCGAATGCGATGGGGAAGAGGTTTGAGGCTTAGGCTGACATGTAGCCTGCTTCTGGTTGCCCTTCCCAGGCTGCGATACAAGAAGATTCGAGAACTGCCCTGAAGAAGAAACCACTGAGATGCAGCTCTTAGCGACCTGGGACAAAGCAGGTTGGTGCATTGTCAACATGCAGCTACGCATCGGACGGAAACCGCTAGACAGGTTGACGTGATTCAGAGATGAGTGCCTTAGTGCAGCCTCCTTGTTGCATTAGTTCGACATCTACGAGGCCCTTGTCGGTTTTGGTTTCAAGACGAGGATGAAGGGGATTTACGACTTTCGAAACTGTTGTCAAATCCAAGCCCACGAAAAGCCATCAAGAACAAACCCGTTCTCTACAGCCGAACTTTCGTTTGACTCCCAAAGAACACACTTCCCCCCCGCATCCCAAACACTGAACCTAAGCCTCAACTCCGCGATCCTATGTTCTTTTCCGGCACCTGGTAGGGCGTCTCGTAGTCCGTGGGGATGGTCCCTCGGACTTTGCCTGCCTGCAACGGAAGGCTTTCTTAGGATATCTCTTCTTGGGGTTTCAAGGTTTTTGGTTGATGGGATAATGACTCTGATAATGACGGTATGGATTTGATCTGCGACCACTTGGCCCCACCGCGTTCGGCTTCGATGTAATTGTCGTTTCTACGAAGTTTTGGTGCTTGTACCGAGAAGAGTCCCGAGGAACGGGTGCTTGACAATCTCTCTCCGTCAGGCACTACTAGACTACTATAGACTATAGACTTGGCTCGGGGTGGTTTAAGTCTTGATGGACGCGGGTGTCACTGCTGCCCTGCAGAAGGCATCAGAAGAAAGGTCAAGGGCACTGTCGAGCTCCAAAACTAAGCCTTCATCCAACTTCGCCACTTGGGCGGGCTGCGCAGGATCGCCTCAGCGGCGACACGATGGATGATTTCCTGCTTGAGGCATCTACGCACTTAAGCCCGTTTTCGTTGTCTGTCTGCCTTCGCTGCAACCCCTACTGGGACAAATTCTCAGATCAAGTGCAGGCTTCGAAGGACCTGCTTTGCCACATGCTCCAGGATGTTTGCTGTATAAAGTGGTCTCTCCGAAACTTTAGCCAAGGAGCGTCGATCACGGCAGCCATGATGTGGTCTGCTACCTCAAGCCCGAGCGGTAGGACTTCATCATGACGTCATGCTACTTGGATTCTGCCGTGGAAAATGGGAGCATACAAGCTTCGGCAGAACCCAAACGACACGTCCGACAAGAAAACAGGAGAGTTTGATCGGACCAAGATCTATGGAGGAGATGGGAACTTGTAAATGCGAAGCTCGCAAATCCACAGCGTGCAGGTTCGTTTTCTGCTACAGATTTGCATTGGATGTAGGATCGAGGATTTGAGTGTAGCAGCAGCAGCAGCAGGCAGCAGCGGCAGCAGCAGCAGCAGCAGCAGCAGCAGCAGCAGCAGCAGCAGCAGCACATGATGGTACGACCAGCTTAGGCCAGCAACCGTGCAAACCTTCAGGCCCTTCAAATCAACAGGTGGCCCTCAATCCCGAATCCAGTTGAATGACGCCTACGCCCTGAAGTGCCAAAAAGAGATGAACACACCAGTTATCAAAATCTGCTGCAAAAACCCAGCCGAATTTTGTAGACCCCCGTCTTGGCCGACCTGGACTCTTAGGCGCGTGCAGGCATGTCGCTTCGAGACTGCAGGTCCACCTTGGATGGCTTCTTTTTCCACACTGGCTGCTGAGAGCCGCAGGATCGGGTTCATATGTAGGTAATGTTGGATTTGGTGATCGTTTCACTTCAAAACCTGAGGCCCCCAGGACCATATGTCCTGGTAGACCTTGATGCGTGAAGCCACGGTGCCAACACCATATGGCGGGAATATGACTGTTGACATGTAGATGCCTTCCAAAAGCCCGACTGCAGCTATCAAGTGCCCATTGCCAGTTACTGCTGCTAGTAGTGCTGCTCCTGCCAATGCATCCGAACAGCCGAACCGTTACCAGCATCCGTTGCTACAACATAAATCGAAATCAAAGGCCAGGAAACGTGGACATCTGCCTCCTGCCACATGTCGATGGGGTCAGCCGCACTGGCAGCGCATGGGCATCTTGATGGAAATTACTGGTTTTTGCTTTGCGCTCAGCTCCGAAAAATGAGACTGGCATGTCCTCATTCCCCACCACAAATTAGCAACAGCTAACCTTAAGCTAGAGTTTCGATGCAAGGCTTCTGACAGTACTCATCTCATGGCTGCTTAGAATGCCATTGGTAAGCCTGCTAACAAAGCTGAAATACTCGTAGATTCATCGACTAAAAATCCTTAGGCGTCGCGCTCGATCTCCTTGGGTCGATTGAAGCCGAACTCCATGGCCCTCAGCACAAGCCCGGCACATGAACTGCACGGACGGCAATGTTCAGAGAGTTGAGTTAGTCCTGATCAGCGAGGCGAAGGACACTTCAATTTCTAGCTCAAGAGCTGCCAAGCTGCCAGTGTCGTCAGCATGCAGGCAATGCTACACAGCATATCGGCACTGACCACCTAGCACGAAACCTTGGGGTTCATGGGCCCCGGGCTTCTCAGGGCCGAAGGCCGCCTTCTTCTTCGGAAACTTCTTCTTCCTTCGGGATCCGAGTCATGCGATCAAAATGGCTAGTCTGTTTTTGTAGTTGTGCTGCTGCCCGTTGTACGGGTGCCGGTACAGGTTGTCGTCTTTTCTACCTCTACTGCTACCGCTGCCACTACGGCAACGACTACTTCTATAGTTTCTGCTATTGGAGAGGAACCATGAGCTTCGAGATCTGGATTTGGTCTTCAGGGGTCGGTGGGGTGGGCAATTCCTCTTTTCTGCTTTTCTGTCCGCATGCAGGTGCAGGACCTCGATAAGGTGAGAGAACTTGTTGTGTCATAGAGTTCCTGCATGTCTTGAGACTTGCAACTCTGCAGTTCGGTTCACCTGTCTTTGTCATCGCTCAAACAAAACGAAGTAGGTGTCGGAAGAGAGTTTGCAATCATGGAACCTGGACGCAATCCTCGGGGTTTACCGACGCTGCTGAAGCGTTGACTCGCACAAGCGCGGGGTCTAAGCTTCATGCCCCAAACCTACGACCGTCATGCCAACATTCAAAAACCATGGTGCCCGGCCGGATCTTCTCTCGCATGATGATGTCGCGCCGCTCCCAGCCATCGGGGTCAAGCCACACCTCTGCAGAAAAGGACCCACACAACATGAAGCCTGCTGACAACGCACGGTACTGGAACAGCAACCATCCGCGGCCCGGATTCTTCTGTAACTCGGGACGATTGCGATTACAGTTTTCGGCTTGGCCTATCTTGGCCTGCCCCTCTATGTTGCTCTTTGTGGCCAAGTGTCTATGAGACCATGCATCATCACCTTCCAGGGGAAGCGAGTGACACCTCGGAAATGGAGCGACGAAACACGCATGCTGCAAAGGGTGCTAGGGGAGGCCGTTCGAGAAAAGGACACAAACCTCTCTTCAGAGTTCTGATGGAATCCACCTTGGCAAGCGCAAAACAGCTACCCTTCTTGCTGCCCCGAGGCTGGTCAGCGGCGGCACAGCAACCACCTTCTCCAGCTGGCCCGTCTGGCGTTTGTAATAAATGCATTGGTTGGAGTCGGCGAAGAAGGATGCTCAAGTGCAAAGCTCGAAAAGTGAAGTAAAGAGAAATGAAGGTTCATCAACCAGTGTATTCAACGAACCACCGGCAAATGCGTGTGTCTAGAGCATCGGCAGTAGGACGCTCGCAGCGTATCTTGCAGCCCGGTGACCATGAGCATCATGAGCATCAACTGGAATGATGTTGGCGCGGCGCTTCGGGTACATAGCACTTTTGCACGTGGTGCTGGAGTTTGGTCAGATCAACTAGGACAACATGAACAGACGCTCGCCGACTAGATTCGTCAATCCTTGCAATAATCCTTTGTAGGTCACACAAAGCCCAGCTCGAGGCACCATTTCCCCAGCCGACACAAGGTTCGTGTGCTCGAAGTCCATAAAGGTGTAGTTGATCCGCTCCTGACCCGGTGGTCAACATTACAGGATCACGAAAACTTGTTTTCTTGTTGGGGATGAAATGCTCTTCAAGCCGAGTCGCGGCAACCAGCTTGATGTCTTCCCTGTAGGAGTCCATGTCTGGGCCAACCAAGAAAACATTGGCATCCTTGGAGACTCTCTGGCTTCAGGGTTTTGACTGCATGAAGAGGGGCTTTCCTCAGTCATCCCGTTCGAACATTGCCACTGCTCGAAGTAACCCGCTTGTTAAAAGTTGCACTCAAACCGGTCGAGCCCCGGAGAAGGTGGGCTGCTGAGAACACATAGCCATGCGTCCTCTAAGGAGCAGCAAAACAGGGAAACACCATGACAAGCAGCACCGTTCAAAAACCACAGCTTTACTTGTTGCACCCATGGTTTGCCCTGCTGGCC